CGCCATGTGGTCACCTCCGGGGCAGGCAGGAATCGAACTCATGCGGAAGCGGCTTCAGATTCTCAGTGCTGTGCTTTAACCCGCTGCGCGCCACCAGGGAGGGCCTTCTTACATTAATTTTTTAATGAATGTGAGAACAAACATGTTGCGTTTCAGTGTGTGTAGGGTTTCAGTGAAGCACTGAACTAGCAATAACGATACACATCTCTTAGCTTATTCTTAGAAGATCCAGCTTCCGCTGTCCCAGAGGCTTTGGCACTCCAGCACCACCATGCATTTAAGTTTCTTATAGGTCCGAACTCCAATAAGGAATCAGGCTACCACCAGCAAGTCAGTTTGGAGCCAACAGGAAATGAATCTGTCTGCTCAGATATTTAGGTCAAATTATTGATGTTTAGTGGCAGAAGGTGGCTCTCTTTCTCACTGGATTGAATGATGAGAGCATATCTGTTTTCTTGACAAGATTGTGGTCTGCCTGGAATTCGCTCTAGAAGGTAGATAAAAATTATTCTGTCTGCAGGCACAGCGACATCTGGTTAGCATATCTCCTGATTCATCTCACAAACTGCCTTTAAAGGTAATCACACTGAACATTTTGTATATGTTTGCCTTCCAATACGTGAGTCTGGGACGAGAGAAGGAAACTGCAGTGGAAGATGCATCTTTATTAGGAGAAAAATCAGAAACCAGGCTCTTTGTTGAGAGTAACTGTTAGTGTAGAAGGGTTCAGTTAAATTAATGATAAAATTTGAGAAAATTTTCATTTGTTTTGGCAAATAACCAAATAAAAACAATAATCAGATTTTAAGCTAGTATCAGAAAATTTCTATGATAAAATATTTTCATTGTATCATCCACCTCTGTCTCTCTAGCAGAAATCTTAGTAATATTATTATCATGGACTCAAATTTTCTATGTTGAATAACTTATTAAGCTTAATATCTTAAACCAAGTAAACCTTTTATAGCAAAATATCTGCATGTAAGTGATAAATCATATATGTGTAGTGAAATTTGTTTTTTTAACTTTTTATTAAATTTAATACAAGTTGTTTTTTTTTTTAAGTAAATTGAAACTGAAGCTTTATTACTTAAGGGATTTTATTTTCTCCCTGGTCATTTTTACCCAAGTCCTACAAAACTATTTCAACTGAGGGATAATCCTCATACTCATATTCCTCACAGATTCTTGTTGTCCTATGAAGGTTTTCTGTAGCATCACCAAATCTGTCATTACCAATTAATGTTGTCATGCCAAGTTCACGCTTGAATTTCAGGTTTTGCATTCATTCTGGCATTATTCCTCATCTTTCTGGACAACCTGCTAAATAAGGAGGGTGGGTGATAAAATGTGGTTCGGTGTACAATACATTAGAATCTTATACACTTAGAAATTTAAAACTGTAAAGCCCTAACCATCTGTCAAGTCCGACTTCTAACCTTCCTTACCTTCCAGACACAGCTGCAAACCCTGACGTGTGTGGGGGTGGGAGTGAGAGAGAAGCCTGGGAGCAGCTGAAATTACTGCGTCTGTGCCCTGGAACTCTGTTCCTGTGGCTTGGCTTGAACTTAATCTTGTTGCTCTACTTGGGACACATTTGTACGCAATGATGAACATAGACTGTCAATAAAAGATATATCATTTTACTTATTAATTTTTTTCAAAAACACCTTATTATTTCTGGGAATCACATATTAATTGATATGACCAGCTCTGCTATTACCAGATAAAATTTTGCTTTTGACAAACATTGTTTTGCTCAAACTTATTACCTAGCTGTTTGCCAAACCTGATGCCATGTTTTCTAGTTATTTTCTATAATTAAATTGCCACTTATTACTTTGGTTCTCCATTGAAAGGATAGTACTGGTTTTTGAAATTTATTTAACATAGTTTTTCCCCTGAGATTGCACAGATAATAAAATATATTGTTAACAGGATGTTAACATAAACATCAAATTTCATAGCCACTTAGTGGCCTCCTCTTCCTTCTAAAAGATAATCCCACTTTCTTGTCTGCTTTGGTTATGGTGTTTTTCTAAAACCATTAAAAGTGGTGAGTGAGGGGTTTCTTTTCATGCCCATATATTTATTGCTGTTCATATTTTCCTTCTGTTATATAAATTGTTAATTGGAAGTTGCAACTGTTAGAATAACCTATCAAAAATGTCACTCGAAAAATTTTACTTCCCTGTTAGTTCTCTGGTAGAGTGAAATCTTGACTAACAAATGCCTTGGCAGTTCTCCAAGAGGGAATGCGGCCGCATTAAAAAGAAGGGCTTTCCATGAGTCCTGTGCGAGGGTAGCTGTCTGTGGGTGCCATGCATACACAGTCCACCCTAACTGTATATAAATTCAAGTGAGGGCAACATTTGAAAGCAAAGAACTGTCCTTCTTAGCCTAGACACGGTTACTTTTCCCTCCATGGTGCTTTCTCTAGACGAAAATTTTCACTCTTTTTTCCTTTTTCTTCCTTTCCAATCAGCACGTCATTCACTTTTTATTTATTGTCTGGAATGTTATCACCGCCATGCCTTTTCACTGAAAGTCTTTGATGGCTGCTTGAGAGATGAACATCTTTCGCACACTCAAGTTTACAAAGTATTAGCTATCATTGAGTGAGGGATGAGGCAGGAGGCGAGAGGACCCAGCGTGTACAAAGTGCCCAGTGGCCTCTGCTGGGCGCTGAAAACGCCATCACCTTCGTAGCGAGAAGCTCAGGAATTCTCCATTCTCTTTTCTCCCTTATTATTTTGCTGATTGATGCCAACTCCGGCAGTATATCACCTTCAAGAACATGTTCTTTCTTGCCCACAGTGCAGAAAAACGACTTGTTAGTTTTATAGAGATAAAATTGACGTTTGGAATGAGCAGTATTTGCTAGGAAATGGAAGAGCAGCAGGATCAGCGTGCTAAAGTATGTACGTTTCATGGCCTGGCATTTGGATTCCGATGTGTCCACTGTGAAGAGACGGGATGGGGGAGCATGCTTACGTGGAGACGGCCTGATCCAGGGGGGGCATAGCTCAGTTCTAGGGTGCCGCTTCTCAAAGCGTTCTATCGGATTATCCCGAGTGCTTCTTATAAATATGTCTCAGAAGGACTAGACTAAAATACAGAAAGGTGGACCTGGTTTGAACAAATTCTCCGCGATTTTTCTGATACCAAATTTGAGTAGCAGCTATTTAGGAAGCTGCTGTTAACTCCCCCCACCCCCAGGTCATTTATGTTTACGTAGCGGTGGTTCGGGCATGCTGACTGGCACAGCCAAGTCATCCACAGAAGGAAACCAGTCTGCACTTTGATGTGCACTAGTGTGGGATCCCGAGGAGGTAGATGCTCTTTGTTGTTCTTCATTCCTGCTCAGCCGTGCGTGGGTATCCTGAGTGTAGTATTCTTCATTCTTTCACCCTCAGTCCTATTTCCCATTCTAGGTAGAAAAATCTTTTTTCTAAGAAAAACCTTTTTCTTTGAAAAGCAAAATTTTTTCTCAACCAGCTCCAGAAAGATCTCTTTCTTTCTTTCTTTCTTTCTTTCTTTCTTTCTTTCTTTCTTTCTTTCTTTCTTTCTTTCTTTCTTTCTTTCTTTCTTTCTTTCTTT